AATGGTTAGCTTCTTCCCTAAATGCAGAAAGGGCAGGAAACTGAACTGAATATTCAATAAATTGTACTCTCCACTCCCTTAGTTTTCCTACTTACCTTAAAGGATTATTCCAAACACTATGATCACTTGCACAGGATGAGCACATACAGGACTTAACTTGCTTCCAGAAATGTCATGTGGTGAGCTTCACTGGCGAAACGTGCACGTCAGGGGCTCTGGACACTTACTGACACATTATTGGTGTCAGCACCTAACTCTCTGCTTATCTATTGCTAAATTACCGACATCAAGTTCATTCATGTCCAGCATCTCAGGAGTGCATATTGGAGACTCTTAACACTAATTTTGTGTACTCTGTACATACTTTATTTCTCTTTCTTTTTCCTTTATTATGTTTATGGGGGGAGATTGATAAGACCAGGCATTTTAGTAAGGGGTGCCCTCGAAGGCACAAGACTCAGGACTCTTTATTCTATATGCCTTTATTCTATATGCCTTCCTCTGTCACTGTCTGTATATTTTCTACTACCTAGGCAACCTGTTCAAAAAACTGTTCATCAATTCACATTTCAAGCGATCTTATTACAATATATAGAGATTCAGTATTTTGTGTATCTCTCTACTGTAAGTGAAGCACTGCTTTTGCACTACTTAGTCTGCTATTAGACAATTTTAAGCCTAACACACTACTATTTTTTATATAACTGTGTGTATAACTACATTAAACAGATTACTATTTTTATGTTATTCTGTAATAAATAGTGGCTTTTTAATAAGCAGATCAGTTGGTGTGTAACACGCAGAATCTGCCTTTAGCATATTTAAAGGTATACACACCATACATCTTATTTGAATTATCGATTGTTCCAGATTTTTATACAACTATCACATTTAATCTTACCGAATAAGCCATTTTTAAGTGAATTAGCTCCTGAACACACTGCCTTAAAGGTATCACTGTTCTTTATCTGTTCAAAAAACTGTTTGTAAAATCTCTTTTTATACTTTGACCTATTATTTAGATGCAGCTAGCACTTAGGCAACTTGCGTGACTTTTAACCGGTATATTTTCTACTACCTAGGCAACCTGTTTAAAAACTGTTTGTAAACTTTTCTTTATACTTTGACCTATTATTTAGATGCAGCTAGCATTTAGGCAACTTGTGTGATTTTTAACCGGTTAACTGCTGCCTGTCAGCAGTCCTTAACAGGTGAGCTACTACTTGGTGCTCCACTGTGGTCAAGCATAAGTTAACATAATTCAGTGCAGGCAGCTGCTGTTACACTAGAATATACTGCTAGGTATCTTGCAGAAAAAACAGAGCCAGGTCAGCAACCCCTTATTTTATACTTTACTGCTTGACAGCAACCTTTAATTTATTATCCTAAAATGCTGCTATGATCTAGGCAGCTTTTGTGATATTTAACTGGCTAATCGCCGTCTGTCAGAATTATGTCTTAGCTGAACCATTATCTTTGATCTTTCTGAGGTTAAGCACCATAGAACATTATCAATTATTGTATGTGGAGTTAACCCATGTCGTTAGTTGTACTATCATGTAGGGATTTACTTATCCATATCTTTTAACTATTGACAGCACTGGTTTAGCAGCTGTCTTATCTCCCCCCTCTTGTTACAGCTATTAGTGATATATAATATAGTATCACTTCTATTACTTGGGAATACACTGTTATATTGTAGCTAAACAGTATTGCTTCAGCATTAGTGTTATTATGTATACACTTTTACAGCTTATATAAGTAGTCAGAGTTTTACTCGCTCAATAGTCTCCATTTACTCCTGCTGTTCATATTATTTTTCTTTTTTTTTATATTTTTATTTTAGATTTATTTATTAAAAGTTACTTTTTAATCTACAATCTTCTCAGTAAATCATACACAGGTAGAATGGAATTTGTTTCTTTTTTTGTTTATTCTCTATGATGCCCAAAAAAAGAGTTTAAGACTGGCTAATGTAAATTCTGTGCATATCTCAATGCTAGGAGTGTTGTGGTCTTGTTTCTTATGCTAAACCATTTTGCATCAGTTTGCCCTCTTACCTGGGTCCCTACAAGGCACCGAGGAGTACACAAAACTGTATGGATGTCCTAAAAAGTTGGAGCAATTTTAGTCCTCGGAATGTTTCATACAAGTTCAGAAGTGGGCACCATAGTTCAAGTGGAGAAGATTCTATTTTGTTTCAGGGAACGTCACACTTTGTTTTCTAGTATTTCTAAAGGTTTAGTTATATTATCATGCATGACCCCGAAGAGCACTGTTTATGCAAAATGTGCATCAGGCACAATGTTTTTTGCCTCCTCTTCCTTACCTGTATGCATTGATTAGCCTGGTAGGCCTATATGTACAGGAATACAATTTGTCCCTTCAGACAAATGCATTTTCAAATAACCACTTAAAATAATGATTTATACCTATTACATCTACCCCTGTACAGCAGGCTTCACCGTTAGTGGCTGAATTTGTGTATCTCCAAGACACTTTGTTTCCTCGTAACTAAACACAAAGGATAAGGAGAGTCTGCATTTGAACTTAATGTGTTTTAACTGTAATGATTACAACAGACTCAAGACAAATGATAGAACCTTAAGCACTTCGCTCCATTCAGCTTTAAACCATTCGAAAGGGTTAACGCTGTTCTGGACTCAACTTCCCTCTATTCTCAATTCTCCGGTCACCATAATCAATATTGATGGAGAATCGTTGTTTGCAATAAAGGCACGGACACCACAAATGTACTTTAACAAGATTCTCAGTGAGTATATTTTCAGGGCTAGCATTTATACACAGTTTGTCACGCAAGCAGCGAGATTTATCGCTTCCTTATAGTTAGTAGTACATACTTGCCTGACATTAAAAGATAAGCATTTGAATAAAGACGGGACAGGAACATCCTGAGATCGAGCAAGGTCGCACATCCTCTAGCAGGAAGACCTTGGTACAAAATACATCTGCCAAAGTCCGCATAATTATTTCAAATATTATTTTAAAGCATATAAAGCAAAAAGTGTTTAACTATAGAGATGTCGCGAACCGTTCGCGAACGGTTCGTGGCGAGCTCCAGTCAGCTGACCCTCCCTCCCAGACCCTCCCACCTCCTGGACAGCATCCATATTGAAGCTGACCGGAGCTTGCCACGAACGGTTCGTGGCGAGCCGTTCGCGGGAAGTTCGCGATCGGTTCGCGACATCTCTATTTAACTATTTCATATCCTTACAGTCAGCACTAATGATTATAAACCTTATCTAAGCATAAAATACATATGAACAAGAAAAGTTAACTACTTCATATTCTTACTTCCCCCTCTTTGAGCAAAAAACTTGCTCATATTGTCGGTTAACATTCTCCCAGGACAGATAAACTTCCACAATATGACATTCCTAAGCAATCATGTGGTTTACAAGAAACAGAAACTCAGCAGGAAAAAAGACACAATACTTTTGTAGACCTAAAAAAACCTGAAATTGACCCAAAAGTCAATAACAGAAAGGACTTAGTGGGTAGTAATGGTCACAAACCTTTAATTGATTACACGAAAAAATAAATTACCATAGAGGGCTGGAAGAGGCAAAGGTAAATTCCCATTCCTCTGCCAGTCTCCTGCGGTATACCCACAGCAATAGAGACGACTCATAGAGCTGAAGAAACTAAGTTAAAATACCTAATACATCTTTAATGAGTTATACTTAAACGTGAATTAATAGTGAAACACAAATTCAAACGTGCTGGTGAATCTTAAAAAGGGGAGACTTGATGCAGCCCATAAAAAGTCTCCTAATGTATTCAAAGTCATTGGTATGCAATGATGATGAAAAAATGTATTATCAAAATATGATAGTCAAAAAAGTTCCCATTTAAAGAGACATTTAGTCAGGACTTTAAATGTAAAATAGGGCACAGGACCCAGGGATCTAGATAATACTTATTGAAAGGAGTGTGGTCCTTAACCACATATATGAAGTGAAGTGAGCCTAAGTTCAGGCTCAACTAAAGGAAGTGGATTGGCACAGTTGCTAGGAACAAAAAAAAAACAAATCCCATCAATCTATCTAGATTAGTACTGAAAGCACCTAAGCTATCTTGAAGAAAGTGTATCTGATAGGCTACTGCTAATAATTACATTTGTCCTGTATCTTTACCTTAGTTGCATATAGTTTAAGCTGCATAGGTAAATAAGAAGAAGGCTGCATCAAGTCTAGCCTAATAAAAAAGAAGAAACAGACACGTCTAACTCGACGCGTGTTTCTACGCACTCTGGCATCTTTGTCAAGAGAATTTTGCAGACAGATATATAGAAAATGGATAGAACAAGGAAACATATCAGTGCAGCGCTTATGTAGATAGAATAGGTATGGAGTTAAATATCTTAGTCTATACCTTTAATTTGAATGTTTTCTTTTTTGTATTATTAGACCTTTGTGTACCTTTAAACAGAACATAAAGAAATACACAAAATAGTGTAATCTGTATAATACAAAAAAAGGATTTTGATCATATGCCAAGTGGCAACTTACACTTTCCTGAGCTAACAAATTTAGCTCAGATTCTTGCGCTTTGCGGTCCGTTAAGGCGACCCTTTCGCTTCTTTCTTATCCAGTGGTCCAATCCTAGATAGGCAGTGTAATATTGTCTAAATTTCAAGTAATAATTTAGTATAGTGAAATTTTACTCACAAACCCAAAGCCTGAACTAAGGCTGACTTCACTTCATATATGTGGTTAAGGACCACACTCCTTCTTTCAATAAGCAGGAAAAAAATGCCGTAAGTGTATATAAAAAGTATTTTATTAGCTCTATAAAAATTAAGTAACAAAAAATGTATAAAATATAACACTTATCCGGCTAGAGTCCAAAATAGAAAGTCTCTATGCTCACTTCTTTCCTCCAGTACGCGTTTCGCCAAAGGGCTTCTTCAGCTGGAAAAAATTTTTTTCAAGTAGTTCCTATGGACCTTCTTCCTGCTTTAAATGTCCTTATAATTAGGGGAATCAGCTGATTTAGCTTGTGAATTCACGGGTATTCTCCATAGTAACGGACGTACCCTGTGTTCCAAGCCTCTTTTTGATCGCTTCACTTCCGCCTAGTATAGCGATTCGTCATTTCCGGTTTCGGCTATGCGTTCCACAGTTCGTTCCACTGTGGATTCCGGTTCTCATTTAGTCCATACTTGTATTGCACGATCGTTTTTCATTGTATGGAATAGAACATAGTAATAGCCTGTTAGTCATTCCCATTCAAACTTAAATTAAATTACATAAAAGCATTTAAATCTTTTATATTTGACACATATATATGAATAAAAGGACATGATTTATAATAAGATGTCTTCGTGGTCTATTTCTGTGATTCAAAGAATTGCTTTTACACTATATATTACAGTGAAAAGAATGAAATATATATACATATAAAACCTTGATTTGTGACATACTAAAATCATTGAGAATATACAATCATAAAAAGATATTCACAAATAATTTGTATGAGAGAATGACACCATTTCAAAATCTGAGTTAAAATCAATTCATACTAAAATTATTTCAATAAGAAAATACACATGTAAAACTTTTGCTGTGGGACCTGTGCTACAATAATTTCGTTAAAAATATACAGAATTATAAAAATATTTAAAAAAATTATCATCTAGTTTATCATTATAAGAGGAAATGGCACATTTCAAAGTTTGAATTCAGACCGTTCGGGATAAGGCAATAAAGTTTGAATATCCATTCCATTTCTGTTCTACTTAATTTTAAAGTTGCCTCCTCTCCAATCTTTCTTTATTTTATTAATTCCTAAAAAAATAGTGTCTTTTAGATCATAGTTGTGGTGAATTTTATAATGTAATGACACACTATGATTTTCAAAACCTTTACTTATATTCCTGCCGTGCTCTTCTATTCTTACATGTAGAGGTCTAGTAGTTTTACCTATATAATTTAACCCACAGGGACATTGTATGAGATAAATGAAGTTTTTTGAGTGGCAAGTGATGAATTCTTTAATTTCATGTTCTGTGCCTTCATTTGTATAAAACTTTTTTACATTTCTTTTCTTATTATTAGTTCTTTTGCATGCTAGGCATTGCCCGCATCCGAAAAAACCTTTTTCTGTATTTAGGAAGGTGAGATTAGTCTTAGGTTTCTCCTTTATATAACTCGAAGTCAATGCGTGTTTTAAATTTTTTTACTCCCCTACGTATAAAATTTGGTTTATCAGGTAAAAAAGTTTTTAGAGTAGGATCTTGTAGGAGAATAGGCCAATATTTTGACACAATCTTCCTTACTTGGTAGTTATCTGAACTATAATTTCATATAAATGAGAATTTACTTGTTTCATCATCTTTTTTCTCTTTATATTGTATTAAAGTCTTTCTCTCTCTTTCCTTTACTTCCAATCGTGATTTTTCTAATTTCTCTTCTTTGTATCCTTTTTCTAAAAAATCTATTTTAATTTTGTTAGACTGTATTTTAAATGTTTCTAAATCTGTACAATTTCTCCTTATTCTTAGGAATTGTCCCTTTGGGGCATTTTCTAACCAAGGCGAGAAATGGCAACTGTCTCTGCCTATGAAGCTGTTTGCCTCTACTGTTTTAAAGTGTTTTTTTTGTTTTAAGTTTGTTATTCTCAATATATATGTGTAAATCTAAAAAGATTATTTCTTGTTTACTCCAATTACAAGTTAGTTGAATTCCCCATGTATTAATATTTAAAAAGTCCAAAAATGTAATTAAGTCTTCTTCTCCTCCCTCCCATATGAAAAAAATATCGTCTATGTAACGGCCATAGATGACCAAGTTTTCCACCCAGTCATGTTGCCCATATATGAACGAATTTTCCCAATGGGCCATAAAAAGGTTGTCATAACTGGGTGCAAACTTAGTCCCCATGTTGTGTATTTCTTTATGTTCTGTTTAAAGGTACACACAGAACGGTCTATAATACAAAAAGAAAACATTGAAATTAAAGGTATAGACTCAGATATTTAACTCCATACCTATTCTATCTACATAAGCGCTGCACCGATACTTTTCCTTGTTCTATTTCTCCTCACTAAAGATACTACAGTGATTTAGCAGCTACTTTTATTTGGTGTATATAATTTCTATATCAAAATAAGCACACATTACTCAAATAGCGTTAATATTTGTATCCTTTAAATAGAAAATGGATGTTTAAGACAAAATGGAACTTGAGCTTATAGCAAATATATTATTGCAAATAGCTGACATGTTAACCAATTTTAAACAGACTAACCAGCCTGTCATCTGTATCATAAGCCCTGGGTAAATATGGGCAAAGTGTATTATTCCCAACAGTTGTTTTCCTCCTTCGTCCACGGAAGTGGGCGCATATAGTCAAAGTGGGATTACTAGTCCAACCGATGATCTGGGGCCAGGCAAAAAACCCAGTGGCAAAAACTCATATTTGAGGAAAAAGCACATCTGGGGAAAACCTGAGTGGGGGCCGCGATCGTGTTAGACATGTCATCCCCTCACAGTTGACACCACTTGTGAGTACATAGCTCGGGTATCAGGAGGAATTGGGAAACACTTCTTACAAATTAATTCATGAGATAAATTATAATCTAGCTTGAAATTCTGACAATAATCACAACCAGGACCTTGCGTCCTATATCTTTTAACCATTTCCCTATTCCAAAGGTCCAGTCAAAACCAGTCATATCCTCATGCAGTTCCTCAAAACATGGGAATTCATCCTTGGTACACTCAACATATATCAAAAACACACATAGTACATCCATCCCTGGGTCAGCTAACACTTCCTCTCTCTCCGGCTAACTCTACAAAAATAAAAATAGTTCAATAGTTCAGAAAAATAGAATAAGTCTTTCACGGAGTATAAAAAAATCAGTTTAGACACCAGACATTTTGTTCCATAAAATGGTTAAGGGTAGCAATATGGCTGACAACAAGACAATGTCAGCTTCCACATAGTTCTTCTTTTGTTTGCTGGATTTTCACCACAATGCTCTGTGCAACACCCCAATGGTTGAAAGGGTTATTACAGAACCAGCGGTATTAGACAGCACTGCACCTTCAGGACTTTCCAAGTTCTTGCGTGCAAAGTTTATGTCTTCATAAATAAGTATCTCAGTTTCTTCAGCCTGCATGGATAATGACCAAACAGATGTAATTGTAAAATACTTATTGCATGGTCAGCCAGAGAGATTGGTGTGTAGTCCCAGAAATCAGGCGGCACAAACACTCCAGGACGGTCTCTACAATCATACAAACACAAGGACCAATACAACATCAATTAATTAATTACCTAGGCTAAAACTTAAATTAGAGATTAAGGTTAAACCCTTAACTTGTGTAACAAATACTTCTCTTATATTTGCTTATATTTTATGCAATCTGTCTTCTATGAAGTTTTACATAATACCCCTTTGGAATGCCTTTGTACGGATGAGAGAAGCACTCACTATATAGAAATGCTTGTTAGGATGAATATTAAAACACTAATATATACATATACATTCCCAATAAAAACTCTGTTCCTAAACTTGAACCTTGATTTGATACTCAAAATTAATTACTTTAATAATCCTGAATAATTCAATACTCTTGGATTAACACCTACAACTATATAAAATATTAAAAACATGAACCATCTGTGTATTAGGCTGGGGTTGTTGGGTGTGGGTATAGGTTGGAAGCGGTGGTTGGTATTGAGGAATCTGTGGGGGTGGGTTTGGGCACTCATTTTTCCAGTGACCCTGCTATCCACAATTAGAACAGTGTGTTCCACCAATGCTGAAGTTGCTACCTCTACAAAGTTAGACCCTTTGACCAAATCCTCTACCTCTGCCTTTAAAACTTTTCTGATTCAATCTCCTATCACCTCCCAAATTTCTTTGTCTCGCCTGCTTAGGATCACAATCCTTGTGACTGATCCAACATACCTTTTCCCTCTTTCTTTCTTTCAAAACAACCTGCTGTATCTTTCTCATGAATCTTCCCAAGAAATTCATTTGGGGTCAAAAAGGGCCAGTCACAGACCAACAAGGAACAAAAGTGAACAAGGAGGAAGCATATTCCATATGCAGGTCTGGATTACCTAACTCACATCCCCTCTTTGTGTACCCCTCTTTGTGTACCACACAGATATAATATTAATAAGCTTTTAAAGGTTTAATGGATAGTTAAATCGTGTATATAAAGCAAGGTTGTCTAGGGGTATATACATCGACAATGAAAGCATAGCCTTCATATAGGGCTTGCAATACCGACAGTCTGTGTCATGAGCGTAATGCAGACATGCGGTTAGGTACTTTTCCATTGTTATAATATATTGAAAACACTAAGACTTTGCAAATTTTTTAAAAACGCATATTGCTTCCTGTACCTGGGGCCATGCAAGGATGTAGTTGGGACATATTTCAAATTGAGTATCAAAAATCTAACCACAAAACTAAATATTATACGCTCAGGGCTGCCATCAGAAATTTTGGGGCCCCTGACACAGCTCAAGGTCTGGGCCCCCCGGTGCCTGCACCCGAGTCTGCCCCCGAGTCCGCCCACAGGGATGCAGTGTCTGCAGGGCCGGTGCAAGGATTTTTGCCGCCCTATGCAAAAGTAAAGTTTGCCGCCCCCCATGTGACATCACAATGCCCCACCCATATGATCTGCCATGTTAGCTAACACAGTGCTGCAGTGCCGCCGTGTTTACAATAAAAGGCCTGCAGGGACAGGCTATAGACACCAGAACCACTACATTAAGCTGCAGTGGTTCTGGGGACTATAGTGTCCCTTTAATGTGAGGTAAATTAGAGACTAGTGCCACGAATAATATACTAGATTGCCTACTTACAACCAGATGAGGATGATGATGGGCTCTAGCTGCCGTCTGGCTCCACTGGTCTGGTGTAGAACAGGCTCTCTGGAGACGGTTTGTAACTGTGGTCACAAAAATCAATGTTTTGGGAGAATGGGAAGCAGCTCCATTTTTTGAGGGCCCTTTACACAGCTCAAGGTCTGGGTCCCAGGGTCCACCTTCATGTTCCACCAATGAGTTTGTTCACAGGGGTGTGTGTGTGTGGGGGGGGATGTCCTGATGTGTGTAAGGAATGCATTGTGTGAATCTGTGTTTGTATGTGTAAGGGCTGCAAGGTGAGTTTGTGTGTGTATGGGATGCAGTGTGTGCGTCTGTAAGGGATGCATTGAGTGTGTGTAAGGGGTGCATTGTGTGTTGCTGTGTGTAAGGGATGCATTGCTTGTGTATGTGTGTCTGTGTGTAATGCATTGTGTGTTTTTCTGTGTGCAAAGGGTGCATTGTGTGTGTATGTGTGTGATGGATGTCAATCTCTCCCCCTACACCTGTCAATTTACTTCTTCTCCCCCTCCCTCTCCCTCTCATTGCCTTCTCCCCCCCTCCCTCTCATTGCCGTCTCCCCCCTCCCTCTCATTTCCTTCCTTCTCCCCCTCCCTCTCATTTCCTTCCTTCTCTCCCCCTCAAATTTCCTTCCTTCTCTCCCCCTCAAATTTCC